TCTGCTTCTCCCTCTGGCCCTCCCCCTCTTATGTGCTCTCTCTCTCTCTCTCAAATAAATAAATAAAATCTTAAAAAAAAAAAAAGACAACTACGATGGCTATACTTTGCTGCTTAATATTTTAACAGTTAATTGTTAAATCAAGGAATCCTACAAATCATATGCAGACATATTCCAGATGCTAACGTTTCCTACACGGTCTGCTCCCACTGAATACTGCTGTCCACCCGCTCACTGGCCTGAGTTCTTGGCATGACATCAGAGTTCACCACCCAGGGTCTTCCCCAATGTGCACCATGGTCTTCTGCCCACTCTGATTCATAGTATGCTAGCCTAAAACACATTCAAATACATAATTTTTTGAAATGTGAAGAAAGGGGCTTTCTGCTTTCAGGGCACCCACACAGGCCTGTGGGGCATCAGGGGCTGACAATGTCACAGTGTGGCCCTCTCTGTGGAAAGCATAGACAGAAGCTTTGCAGCTCCTTTCATTATAAAATGTGCACCCAGGAAGCTGTGAAAGTCTCATAACCGGGACTCTTTTCTGCTTTAGTGCGAGTTGGACATTCTTCTTAGAGTCATAAGATAAAACACAGAGATGGTGTTTGGTCAGAAGTAAGCAGTATTTGGGTAATAACTTTTTCTGGAAAAATGAGGTTTTCTTCACAACCAATCTGTTTCAGTGCAGGTGTCCGTCCATGGGTCCCTGTACCGTCAGGAACAGGGAAAGGTCACACTTGAACAGGACAGGCAGCCAGCACCGATCAGAAATGGCACATGGTGGGTTGGGGGAGAGAGAGCAGGCCGCAGATGGTGAGGCCCTGCCTTGAGCCCCCCATGCTGAAGCCAGTGGCAAGGTGTGTGTCCAGGGCCGGCAGTCAACTCGATCCAGTGGCAGGATAACCCAACGATCGGTTCTGGCCTTGGCGACCCCAGGGAGGCCGTTTGCTCCGGGCAACAGCTTCGATGTGCGACCTCAGGGGCCTGGCCCTGCCACTCAGGGATCAACAGGTACCCTGAGGGTCATGGGCAGCGGGTTATAGCAGATCACAGGACGACGACCAACCATCAAAATCTATGTCGAAGTAGAGCATTTGTGTCCCAGAGGGCAAACTTTATTGGGCCTGTTTCCTGTTTTACTTAGGAAACCAAGAAAATAAAAGAACTCTGGCTCAACTGTGTGCAATGACAGGAGAAAGGGGAAACAAGTCAGGGATTTGCTCGTCTGGTGTAAGGATGTGACTGCAGGCTGTCCTGGGCCACTCTGAGAGACAAGTGTGCACGCCTTTCTACCTCAGTTTCTCCCCACTGCCTTCCACATCCCCAGCCTCCTTGATGGAGGGGGGAGGCTGGCACAAGTGGAGGTGTTGCCCCTTTCACCCTGCCCCCGGGACTCTCAGGGGACCCTCTCCCCCCACCCCAAGTCTGTGTCTATTCCAACAGAGGCTGTGGACACTTCCAAACACTGCCTAATCAGCACATTTATTGCACATAAACACATGATTACCACTTAAAGAAATCAAATTGTTTCCAGATGATATAAGCCACATTCTTATGACCTTTGTTTTGGAGGACATATAACATGCATCCTTTATCTGGAGGGGAGTATCTACTCTCTAGTATCTCTACAGTATCTACTCTCAAAATAGCGACTGATAAGGCTCTTTTACATAAACACATACAGCATCCTGTTGATAAATGCTAGACAACCAGCTATCTGAGGCGAAAGAATAAACGGCCTGCTTTACCGCATTTGCCAGTTCCCCCCGTGTAAGACTCCCACCGTGGCTGATCTCCAGCACCAAGGTGATGTCCCTCCATGTGGAGCACGGAAGAGACACCCAGTAACACACCAGTACACACGGAGTATCTCCCGCACACAGAAACGATTAATGCAAATAACTCAAGAGCACAGATAAGAGTAAAATAATGATGAGGGATGAGATTTGCATATTTTAATTTTGTTTTTAAAAGGACTTGTTTCACTATAACTTTGCATATTTTACTTTTCAGTGACCAGCTCTGCCAAACTTAAAGGAAAGGAACAATCAGCTCTGGAGAACGGGTACAGGCTGGCCCCAGGCCACCAGCTCCAGAAACAGCAAAGCCACGCTTTGTAATCTATGACAATCTGTTCCCAAGAATGAGGAAGAAAATGCACGATGGGAAGAAGACCCGTTTTTTTCAATTTAGTCTACTGGTTCTCAACCAGCAATTCCTCTCCCACACCCCCGGGGAGACAAATGTCTGGAGACATTTCCATCTGTCACGGAGTGGGAGGGGGACAGTGGTGCTCCTGGGATCTAACGACCCAATCCAGAGATGCTGCTACAGAGTCTTCAATGCACTGGACAGGCTCTTGGGACAGAGTAATAATACTGCCAAGGCGGGGAATCCTGATTTTGTCCCACAATAGTCCTCTCTACCAAATGTGTACTCTTGGTTATGTGTCAATGAATGTGGAAAAGGTCATCACTAAAGAATTCAATGAATGAACAAAATAAGCATGGCATCTCATCATACTCCTATTACTATCTGGAAATAAATCAATACATTACTGCAATAGACTGAAAAAATTAACTTTTGAGCTTATGTTTTAAGATTATTACCCCCACAACTATTGGCTTGTGATTTCAAGAAAAAATTAGTGCGATTCCTAATCTTTAAGAATCCTTTATTTTTCAACTTTTTTAAAAAAGATTTTATTTACTTATTTTAAAGAGAGAGCGAGCACACTCCAGAGCATGAGCTGGGGGAGAGGAACAGGGAGGGAGAGAAGGACAATCTCAAGCCGACTCCCAGCTGAACCTGGAGCCAGACACGGGGTTCAATCCCATGATCCCGAGATCATGACCTGAGCCGAAGTCAAAAGTTGGACGCGTAACCAACTGAGCCATCCAGGCACCCCTGTTTGAGACTCTTTTAAATGAGACCTGTATCCTATTCACCCTTAGTTAAGGAGAAAAACTTCACATATGGCTATTCCAGTCAGTGGTCAGAACTCCTCATTTCAAGAGGTCTTCTGACCACAGCCTCAAGTCCAAGAACACTCTGGTTTCAAGCTGAATGCATGAAGTGTAGTCCACCTGAGCATGCAGGGCTGGTTCCTAACAGCTGCCGAGAGCAGATCTGCACCTTGCATCCTACCCCTGTACTCAGTGACATCACATCCGTAGCTTGGAAGCGATAACGGTGCGAGTATTTTGACCCGTTTACCCCATGGGAACCAGAAAATGCCCTAAATCCGGGCTCCAAAGAGCCTGTCGTTAAAGATTGACAAGCACGGGGCGCCTGGGTGCCTCAGTCGTTAAGCGTCTGCCTTCAGCTCAGGTCATGATCCCAGGGTCCTGGGATCGAGCCGCGCGTCGGGCTCCTGGCTCAGCGAGGAGCCTGCTTCTCCCTCTCCCTCTGTCTCTCTCCCTGCTCATGCTCTCTCTCTGTATCTCTATGTCTCAAATTAATAAATAAAATCTTAAAAAAATAAAAAATAAAAAATAAGATCGACAAGCACGCTACCTGAAAGAGACGACCCTGTCTCATGTTCCCCAAATGTTTGAATGTAAATCAACATAATCTTCCAATGCACACACACAAACAACAGGTCTATTATGTACGACGAAACCCATTTCTAAAGAACTTCTAAACCTTGCCTTGGAAGCATAACTTACTCTAGAATCAAAAGCTAACAAATCTGTGATACATCTTGGCTCTTAACAGGAGCCTCTATTTTTATTACAAAGGCAAATTTGTAGGAAAAACATTAAAATCTCCCACTAAGGAAAAACAACTCTTAATCAGCCAAAATGAAACAGGCGTACTTAAATGTCTGAAAACAGTTTAGTTATCCACCGTGGCATCAAGAATAGAGGGCGTTCTCTTTCCCACTGCGGAACTGCTTCAGACACCGAGGAAAACTGGCAATCAAAGGGGGAATTATGCGGGAAACAAACCTTATGGCCAAAAAGAGCGATTCCAAAGCCAATTTGTGTAACAGATACCTAGAAATGCAACAGTTACACAAAGTGCACCCTGGCCCTACTGTTCTACAGCGAAACAAGGAACCTGCTGAGCAGAAAGAGTCTTTTCTCTGGTAGTGTGAAAGCCCTCTGGTAACACCCACTCTCTCTGGACTTGGCAGTTTCTTTCTTTTTTTTTTTTTAAAGATTTTATTTATTTATCTGAGACAGAGAGAATGAGAGAGACAGAGAGCACATGAGAGGGGGGAGGGCCAGAGGGAGAAGC